TTGTTATCAGTATTCATTTTCAGCTGTTCTGATAAAGATCAATCAATAAACATTAAGCTCACTGCACTCATTACCTATTCATTCCAAACTTGCATAGCTATAACATATGAAAAAGGAACGTTCTAATTGGACCTTAAATGAAACAAAAGAAGATTATCATTAGATTTTGGTACCAAATATCCAATAAGGAAAGCATGAACCTGGTGATCATCGTCCATTGCTCAGACATTTTTTCCAACAGTTAAATAGGAAAAGTTCAACATAAAAGATAAGCATTATACACATCACATCTAAAGTACCACATATCCTGAAAAATATCTTAAGCCACTAACCTCGATGCAAAGTGAACTCAAGAAATAAAAATTCATCATTAGTATAAAATATTCCAATAGGAAGTTAACTAATAAAAAACCTGTACAATGTATTTGCAGACAAATAAAATAATAGTAATACCTGTACAATGAGCATGTAGCATATAAATTTATTAACGTGCCATATCATAGTTAGGGAAGGTAACTAATAAAAAACCATATGTTGCTTAACAGTAAAACTATCCATTATTTTCAAGAAATTCAAATATTTTCAAACTGGCTCTTTAACTTTAAGTTTTCAGTTGCATAATCATCAAAACCTTATACTTATCCTGATTTTTCAGGTAGATAGTCAGAGCACCATGCCCACCCATAGAATGACCAAATATAGAAGCCTTTGATGTTTCGAGCTGTGGAAAATTATCACTGAGAAGCTTTGGCAATTCCTTGACAACATAGTCGTACATGCGCCAATTTTTCCATTTCTCTTGTGTGGCATTGAGATAAAATCCAGCACCTGTTCCAGAATGTACATGGAATTAAAATATCTTCTGCATATTAAAACGTATACAAATTGCAAGTTAACTCTTTAGCTATAGCCCATAACAATTAAAATTATCCCGGACAACAATCACATCTTCTGAACAAAATGAGCTTTTTTCCTATCAAAATAAGGAGAATGCAGTAGAATTGCTACAATAGGGAGATATTTAGAATAAGTTAAAAGAACTTTTAATCTGTTTTCTTATTGCACTTCAGATTTTCTATACATCATGTTAAGATGCTCAGGTAACACCTACTCTGTAAATCAGTGCCTTCATTTTCCCCTCCATGTCCAAACAGAATTAGATGAAGTTTTAGGTTTAGTAGTGCACTACCATAACAAGCTTCATCATCCATTGACATGTAACGGTGATGCTATGGTCTAAGTACAGAAGTTAGGTGCGGGATCTTAAAATTAAACCTTTTCTGTCTTTGTGCAAAATATGCATGTCAAGCTGTAAATTTCCATCCTCTTTTATTTTCCTTGGCCCATTACAACTGGGCAGCCATTTGAGCAGTTCTAAGTTCTAACACTTTTTGATCCAGCTTAGCATTGTTTTTCTTTGAGTTATGGGGAATGGCAATGTCAACAGCCAGCCAAAGAACCATTTCAATCCTTTGCAGTCCAAACAGACAATTCAGTTAAGTAATTGTGCTATTCAATTTTAACATAACATTAGTTATTTGTTTCATGTTTGTGGGTTTTCTACCCATAGCAAGTTTAAAGCATAACAAACTCCACCTTGAGTGAGTGTAAGAATTTGGTTAAATCTTGACAGTTGGCTTTGGACTATTACTAGAGACATCTAATCAGTATTTATTAATATTTCAGTTGGCTTTGGACAAGTACTAGTGATATCTAATCAGAATGTATTAATATGTCATTTGGCTTTGGACACATACTATATTGTCCCTTACTCAAATTTTGTGAATGAAGGTTTATAATTTACATCATAAGTTAGATATCTAATCTCAAAATAGACATGAAGATTATTACTTAGAAAGAAAAAAACAAGGAGAAAAACAAAGCAATCATAATTTTACAATGCGAATGAGAGTCAATTCAATTAAAAAAATGGAATAGCCTCAGAGAATAAAAAAACGTTTTTACTCCCCTTAATTGACAAGTCTCATAAATGATAAACCCTTATTAGGATGAGTATTTCTTGATATCTTTGCCACTACCATGCTGTTGAAGGAACTATAGTGGCAATGTTTCTTTTTATTTTCAAATATAAATTCCTTATGCAATATAGAATTGGGTAATTAAGAGTATAGATTCACAATATATTCATCCAAGTGTAAAACACAAGATTGGATAATATAAAATGAAAGCTCACTCAGCAAGTCACAGACTATGGTAGAAGGAGATAAAACATTACATCCATGGTACCATGCATGCAATGGCATTGAAGATGACAAAAACAATACTCGTTTTCAATAGCACTTCAATATGCATAATATATTCACTACCAAGTGTACAGCACATGATTGGGTCATACAAAGTGAAAGTTTATCAACTTAGCTACAAACACCAGAGGTAGAAGAAAACAAAACATCCATTATAAGTCTAGTATCATACCAAAATGGCAATTTTAAGAAATTCAACATTCTTGTTAAGAAGTGGACTTTAAGTCTAACTCAACCCTACAAAACCGGCTTGTAAGGTGAGGTTTACACCCACTTTCACGCCAATGTATAGGATAGGTTCTAACTATAGAGCTGATACCATATTAAGAAATGGACTTTAAGCCTAACTCAACCCCACAAACCCAGCTTGTAAGATGAGGTTTGCACCTACTTATATACTCTAAATTGACCTTATTTCTAGTCGACGTGGACTTCCAACAATTCTCATATGACAAACAAACAAACAACAAAACTTCCTTCAAAAATAAAAACAAACAACATGACTAAAACTAAGGCGAAATGTGAAGCTGGTCAAAGCTTGAGTCGGATAATTTTCAAACAGGCCCATCCCCAAGTCAAACCAAGAAAGGCCCAAGGTTAAGGTCCAGTTCTATTCAAAATTCAAAGCCCAAATGTAATGGTCTCACACGGCATACCTACTCCAAAATCCCAGCTGTCAGCTTCTCCTTCCACATTCAAGCCTCCTGCATCATCAAGTTAAAACTGAGAACATATAAAAGCTTAACAACAAAAGGAAAAGTAGAAACTCCATAACCAATTAATTGTAGTAGATAAAAACATATTCCTGTAGTATGTAACTATTCGCATTCCAGCCCTCTTAAACTTTTCTCTCTTTATTGGTCTCTAAATTTTCTTTTTCATGTCGGTATTCTCTTCCAAGTGACCACATGACTTAACAGATATTAGAAAATACGCATTGCTTCTTAACATGGACTAAAATTAAAATCTACCCACAATAACCTATATCAAAAGTTTACCATTTTATAAAGCTCAAATAAACAACTTCAGAGAGTAAAATGAAAAAATAAAATTCCGAAGTATCAACACAACTAATTTCAGAAAGTATGCATGATGCTTCTAACCATGGACTAAAATAAACATCTTCTCATAAAATTTATCATAAGTTTACAATTTTATAGAGTTAAAAAAGTATCTTTCGAGACTGAAATGAAAAACAACAGTGTATCAAAACACCAAAATAATTTCAGGATGAAAAAACGAAAACATCTTTACTTTAACAGACATGCAATCCGGAATAAAAAATTCTTTATATGAATTTTAAGTAATTACTATAAAAATAAACAAACTTATTATACTTGAAGGAAAGTATAAAAATACCCTCCCACTGTCCATGCATTACTAATTCAGTATGACATTCTCAACAAAAAATTATCCAAGCCCCTTCAATCAGGCTTCGCAGCTTTATTTGGGGAATTCGAGGCAAAAATAAAAAAAAAATTAAAAAGGTAATTTACTTGGGGAAGTGTCGGGAGTAACCAAGGCAATGCCCTCAGCAGCAGCTGCGCGTTGAGCACCAGACTTGAATATGAAGTTTTCATCGGTGCATGTGAGGCCAGCGAGAAAATACAGAACCTTTTGATTGAAAGCATAACAACACGATGAAATGAAGAAAGTGTGAGAGGTTGAATTGGAATGAGAAAAGGGAAAATTGAGAGGAACTCACTGGGAATTTGTGAGAGGGGGAAGGAGAAGGAGGGAAGTAGATGTGGAAGTTCATGGAGCAGCCGAGTGTGGGACTGAAATGCTTGAACCTCTTGTTGTAGCCTCCGAACATCTTGCCACTGCTGATCTCGCTCGGCTTCGTCTCCATCGCTCGATTCTGATTACTGCACTCACACAGAGGAAGTTGGGTTTGGGTGGTGAGGAAAAATTTCTCATGACATTTAGCTTTTATAGGCCTAATTTCCAATGTAATTCATGGCCACCTTTCATGAGATGATAATTGGGTGTTACTCCCTCCACCCCCACACGTCTCTTCCTCCACCTCCCCAATTTTTTAAAATGCCAATTATATCCTTCTAAAATGACAATTATATCCTCAAAAGTTAAAATTTTTTATTTTTATTATTTTAATATTTTAATTTATTTAAAACTTCTGATTTACTTCCCTCTGCACCTCTTCCTCTCTTCCATTTTCGTTTACCTTTCTCTCTTCCGTTAAGCTTCTTCTCCACCTATAACAAATTCATATTTTAACAAA